CTAACTTGATCGAATTCACGGGGTTGCGCAACCTCATACACAGTCTTCGGTAGACACTGCCTACACCCGAACAGGTTGAACTTCACTGGTCACGTCTTAACCCCACTAGAACTCGGAGAAGATTCCTCACGAAGCTAGTCACTCACTAGTGAGCACAGGTAATTTGCATTACAGTGTTGTGAAGATTGTTAAGTTACACATTTTTTGAAACCATGAATTATAATTCACCTCAATTGACATAGAAAATATATTTATTTATATAAATAATTGTTATAATCAATTGAAAGTTCACACTGTTCATATTCAATAGAATTTATGTTAAACTATAAAAATGTAACAATTATTGACCCCAAAAATATAAAACATCTCACAATCAACAAAGTTCATCATTTATCATCATCTTGATTGAAATTCATGACGAAAAACATTATTGATCATAATGCGAAAAAATCTTTCCATTGTGATCATATCAAAAGGTGTTTCTCGATACGGTGTCAACTTGTGTCACACTTATGGTATAGGTGAGATATATCTGTCTCTGCTAAATCGAAGGATGAGTTTATTTATTTACTTACTTACGCCTGTTACCCCTCAATGGAGCATAAGCCGCCAACCAATTTTCTCAAACCAACTCTGTTCTGGGCTTCCCTCTCCAGTTCTGTCCAATGTTTGTTCATTCCTCTCATATCATTCTCTATTTCCCGGCGTAATGTATTCTTTGGCCTTTCTCTTTTCCTTTTGCCTTGAGGGTTCCAAGGGAGGGCTTGTCTTGTGAGGCAGTTGGGAGCTTTTTGCAGTGTGTATCCTATCCACTTCCACCACTTCTTCCTGATTTCTTCATCCACTGGAATCTGGTTTGTTTTCTCCCACAGTACGTTGTTGCTGACGGTGTCTGGCCAACGAATCCGAAGTATTTTGCGTAGACAACTGATCATAAATACTTGTATCTTCTGGATGATGGCTTTATCTAAATTTCCGCTCCATACAGTAGAACTGTCTTCACATTTGTATTGAAAATACTGATTTTGGTTTTGGTTGAAAGTTGTTTGGAGTTCCAGATATTTTTCAATTGTAGAAATGCAGCCCCCCCATTCCACTTTATATATGTCAAATATAGCTATTAAGAATATAGAATATTTGTAGGTTACTAGTATTCTATCATAGTTGTCCACGGAGTAAATTGCTTGTATATTCTACAATCACAAAGTGAACACTGTCTGTGAAAGGAATATAGCATTAGGTGAGGATAGAAGATCAGTTAACGACGATGATGAAGCTAGGAGCTATCTAACCAAAACGTGTCACCCATCCATGAAGAAGTCACTGATAACTGGACTGTGTCATGTTGGTAGGTATAAACTACTTGGTTAGGGAACGCCTGACAATTGTAATCGGTGTTTAGAGACTTTGAGTATCATGGCTCAAAATAGTAAGCAATTGTAGAGATGCACTGACTTCACGTTTTATTTTTAAAACCTATCTCAAGGGCTAGTAATTTCGTGAATCTCATCTTCGACACCTAATCGTCTTTATTACCACTAATAATGCTAAAAACTGCTACAATCATCATGAAATTTGACCTAAAAATTTCAACTGTCTACGTTAAGGACAACTTAAACTGATGTATGTATGTACCAAGTTGTACACTGCAACTGATTGACTCTCATTCACTGGATATCCATGAGAATAATCTCCTTTAATAAACCATTTCCATTTTATTCAATCTATAAATCTGATAGAGCCTCTGAATACCTTTACTTTACTGGTTTTTCCAACAAAGTTATTCACTCATTCACTCTATATCACATCCGAAGTGTTCCTCTGGTGATAATACTTGTATATCTGTATGATATGACAATAGTGAAGTTGAAACAAAGACAACATACAAGCGACAAGTACACAGATCAGTGACACAAATCAGATGAAAATCTCTTCTTGTTGAATATATTTTGCTGTTCATTTCATCTAATTTAGTGTACTTCATTAACATGATCGTTCCTATTTCACGCATATTTTATGCTATAAAGTTGTTACTACTTATAAGTAGTCAAATTGTAAGTGTGATTTTTTTATGAACATGTGCATTTTAAATTGTAAAAACTTCAACTACAAAATGAAAATTTTCAAAAAAAATGTTCCAAGTTTAACAGATCAAAAATTTCACTTTCAAAATATTCCTTCCAGTGTCCTTAAAAATTGCTCAAATAGTCCTGAATATACAATTTCTCCAATTTTGAAGGCTAATTGTACGTAACTGTACAATTGAAACTTATGAGGTGGTTGGGACGTGTGTTACGTATGCCTAACCACCGACTGCCTTGACGAGCTTTGTTTTGTGGTGTTGGAGTAGGTTGGAAGAAAGTTAGGGGCGGCCAAACCAAGATATGAAACAAATCGATGAAGTCACTGACAACAGGACTGAGTTGTGTTGGTGTCCACGAGACGAAAGTCACCGACGTTGAACGACATGGCTCAAAATCGTTTTCAGTTGCGTAGGTGCATCCACACTCTTTGTGTTCTCTCAAATTCTAATCTTTCGAAATTCCTCATCATCTCTATGTTTCTCTTTCTAAAGTTATCTTACTGAACCATACTTCTTGAATAATATCATAGAACTTCATGGATTTCCACTATGTTTTGGTCTGGCCGCCCCTACCTTTCTTCCAACCTACTCCTACACCACAAAACAAAGCTCGTCGAGGCAGTCGGTGGTTAGGCATACGTAACACATGTCCCAACCACCTCAACTGACGAAGTTTCATTACTTCATCTATTGATCTGCCATCCTTACCTAGAACTCGTTTCCTAACGAGAGCATTGCTTACTCGGTCGTCCCACAATATACGAGCAATGCTTCGAAGACACTTCACTGAATTATACTTCTCAAATAATATCTTCGGACCCTAATCTCCTCCATTACCACTAATACTTCTACTATCTCTACCACCATGGGATTTAAAGTGACATTTGTGTCTCTGTTTGCTTATGTGGTATGGCAACTTGAGCTAATGTACGTACGTACAAAGTTCTACGTTGTAACTGGCTGACTCACTGACTGTACGTAACTACTGAGCAGTAGTTAAAATACTTAACCAACATATTAGTTGTTCACATGAGAAACTATGGATTCATGGTAAATTTGACACCATTCAAATCATAAAGCTTATATAGAATAAGAGATTTAGTGCATGAGTTAACAAACTGAAGAGTTACGAAATTCATACATACAACCATGAAATAACTGGTCGATATGACTGACTACGTTTTCATTTGAGTTCGTTCATACTTAATAATTTGGTTAAGCCCTTTTGATTCACTTATTTAACTGATTCATTGGCTTAGCAACAACTTATTGTATGTACCATTGGCTTCTATTATTCTTGTTGTCTGTGGTTTGTATTGAGCTGGCACGACTGAATATGATTTACCGCGTACGTGAATATTTATTCTATTCGCTGTAATTTGGTAACACCTCTTAAATGTTTAAATGACTCAGACATTTTCCTTTGTGTATATACATATATGTACATTTTAATCTTATTCATTCATTCGCCAATTCGATCACTCTCTAGCCCTTCGCTCTGTGTGTGTGCCTATGGTCTCTGTTTGTGTTGTGCCGAATGATAAACGTATTCAACACTACTTCGTATTCACTTTCTGATTTATAAACCGTGCAGCGCTATATAGAAACGGTTATCTGGACGAGCAACATACACTAAGTCTAAGAACACGTTGGATACCGACCGTCATGAGACTAGTGATACACTGGTCACTTTATTGTAACGTAACAACTGAACAGTCAATTTAACTCTTAATTTAAGAAGCGCAACAAATCTTTGTCTAAATGAAACTTCTCCTAATTTCAATGATCATCTCGACTCAACGCGATAACATTTCAAGCAAACAGTATTGGGTTGTGAGCCTCCGAGTGAACAGCAACTCTTAGATGTGGCAGGTACATCCAATTATAGATAAGTGCCTAATAGACACTATCTATCACCTTTATTTCAAATGATAAATTATTCTTTTTGAAATAATGAATCGACCAGTGTAAAAACCGCCATTAGGAACCTGGATGGCCGTTTCGATCTAGTATAGGACTCATCATTGGCAGTGTGCATCCATGACTTCTGCTACTTGCAGGATTTAAGTCCAGGACCTTCGTACTTGAGCGTAAACGCCTGAACTCTGATCCACTGAGCCTTTATCCAAATGGGGTTAATGTATAACTGTGATCAATCTAAGTATTTTACGCAAGCTCATTCGCTGCACACGACACACGGTTGAACTCCACTAGTCATACAACTTCTCACTTAGAACTCAGAGAGACTTCCTCACGGAACTAGTCACTAATCGGAGATTCAGTCAGTCAGTTGCAACATAGAACTTTGTACGTAAGTACATCAGTTCATGTCGCCATACCACATCAGCACAGAGATGTAATTGTCAATTCAAATCCAATAGTAGAAGAGGTAGTAAAGGTATTAGGAGTAATCGGAGAGGTTAGGATTAGAAAATATTATTCAAGAAGTATGATTCAATGAGAAAAGTTTAGAAAGTCAAAACTAGAGGGGCTGAAGAATCCAGAAGATTAGGATTTGAGAGAACACAAAGCATAAATGCACCGGCGCCATTGCGAACGATTTTGAGCCATGTCATTCAAGGTCTGTAAGCATCGATTATTATCATCTCGCGGACCCCAACCAGGTAGTCGACAATTACCGACATGGCTAAGTCCACTTGTCAATGACTTCATCGATTTCTGCCATGTTTTGGTTTGGCCGCCCCTCACTTTCATCCAACCTACTCCTACACTACAAAACAAAGCTCTTCGAGGCAGTCGGTGTTTGGGCATACGCAACACATGTCCCAACCACCTTAACTGATGAAGTGTCACTACTACGGAGATTAACTTTAATTTTTTTTTTTCTGCTTCTATTGTTATTCATCAAAATTTTATTTCATGTATATATTTAAACATTTTCATTTTTATTTTATAGATAATTGATAATTACAATAAATTGAACAATGAATCATATTCTTCCATAATGACATTACCATATAATTTAAATCTTCATTGGGTTACACCAATGATCACCGCTTTATCAATGTCAACTAATTCATCCATTTTAAATTTAAATTCCGATTTGTCACAATCAATCACATCCTCAGCTTCTTCATTGCCATCATTGTCACCGTCATATTTGCCTCAATTATCAACTAGACTTAGATCTTCATCATGTTTTCCATTTGGACGTCAATCTACTACTACTGATCATACGACGATCATCAATCTGGAAAATTCAATGATCAATACTAGTAATCATCATGATCAAGATGAGAAACCATTAGATTTAACATTGAAAACAATACAAACTGAAAAAGAACCGATTCAAACAAAATTACCAATTGAAAACTGCGCCACGAAAACATGTCGACGACGTAAATCTAATAGAACACGAATTAAAACAAAAAACACATCATCATCTACAATAAAAATCAATCAATCAGAACAAAACAATCAAAAAACAGAAACGAACATCTCGCCGTCAACATCATCAAACAGCATAGAATTACTTCAAAATCATTGGAATCTACCGATTGATCAATATTCAATGTCCAACAACAACAAAAACAACAACACAGTCGATTCAAAACGTCAACGTTCAAAAATTCATCGTAGACCATTTAAACTATTTGGTAATACTGTACCATTAATCATTTCTACAGAGAATCTATTAAATCAACCAATTGAACAATTGAACAATACTTCATCATTATTGAATCAATCGGAAATTATTGTGGATGATTTAAAATCTACAAAAAAAGATCAGGATAATGATATTTCGACCACAAACACATCATCGCCAACATTGGATAAAATTAATTCTAAACGAAAATCTACAACTCGAATAAAAACACGTCGATCACAAAGTGCTTCATCTAGTCGCTTGTTACCAGATAATCAAATTGAACAAGCAGTCACAGTTACAACTACAACATCTTTAGAAAATCTTTGTAAATTTGATCATCTAATCACAGCTACAACGACAACACAGTCAGTGACATCGATTTCTTCCACACCTAGTTGTTATTCAAGTTATTCGGAGTTAATTGATACAACTACGACTAACACTTCTACAACTACTACCACGACGACTACTACTACTAGTAATAATAATGATAGTAATAACATTAATCATTTGTCAAACATGACACAAACTATTGATTGTAATCCACGAATGCGACGTTTCCCTGAAATGACACCATCCGAAGTGAAAGATAAAGCATATTGGGAGAAAAGAGTCAAGAATAACGAAGCAGCAAGACGTTCACGTAGAGCAAGAAAATCAAAAGAATTAACTTTAAAAAAATATGCTGATCATTTAGAAAAAATCAATGTGAAATTAATTGATGAAATTGAATTATTGAAAAAGGAAATTTTACATTTAAAAGCTGAAAAACAGGCAGCTGCGACGACGACGTCACCGGCCGCGGCGGCGTCGGTGGCCGCGGCGGAAAAATCAAATTGTAATTAAATGTAAATTATTTTTTTTTGTTTTAAAAATTGTAAATAGAACAAACAGTGTTGTTTTAATTAATCAACTGAATATATTAGAAATCTTTCAATTATTTATTTCAAAATGTTTAATTTCTTAAAATAAAAATAAAGTTTATTATGATAATTGTGTTGTTTGTGTTATAATAATTGAAGAAGGTATCAATGGTTTTTATTGGATTCTCATTGAGATTACACCATTATCTTATTTAATTACTTACGCCTGTTACTTACCCCTCAATGGAGCATAAGCTGCCGACCAGTTTTCTCCAACCAACTCTGTCCTGGGCTTACCTTTCCAGTTCTGTCCAATGTTTGTTCATTCCCCTCATATCTTTCTCTATTTCTCGGCGTAATGTGTTCCTTGGCCTTCCTCTTATCCTTTTGCTTTGAGGGTTCCATGTGAGGGCTTGTCTTGTGACGCAGTTAGGTGCTTTTCGTAGTGTGTGTCCTATCCACTTCCACCGATTCTTCCTGATTTCCTCCTCCGTTGGAATCTGGTTTGTTCTCTCACACAGTAGGTTTTTGCTGATTGTGTCTGGTCAACGGATCCGAAGTATTTTGCGTAGACAACTGTTCATAAACACTTGTATCTTCTGGATGATGGCTTTGGTAGTTCCTCCCCATACAGTAGAACTATCTTGACATTTGTGTTGAAAATCCTGATTTTGGAGTTGATTGATATTTGTTTGGATTTCCAGATATTTTTCAATCGTAGAAATGTATCCCTTGGTTTGCCAATCCGCGCCACCACATCTGCATCGGATCCACCTTGATTGTCGATGATGCTGTATAGGTTTTAACGTCCTCCAAGGTATCCCCATCAAGAGTGATTTGGTCGACACATATTGTGTTGTATCGTAGAATCTTACTTTTCCCTTTGTGTATGTTGAGCCCTGCTGCTGCTACACTGGTCATCTTCTCTTGCATTTGTTATTGCGTGTGCGAAAGAAGAACCAGGTCATCTGTGAGGTCCAGATTGTCCAGCTGCATCCTAGCTGTCCATTGGATACCGTGCTTCCCTCCAGATGTTGACGTCTTCATAATCCAGTCGATCACTAGGAGAAAGAGAAAGGGTGAGAGTAAGCAACCTTGCCTGATACCGGTCTCCAAGTCGAACGAGTTTGTCAGCTTGTGGTGCGCGCTGCTTATAAGTAGTATATGACGAGAGTGTCAACGTAATGTCTGGCAGCAGAAGATGGGGGAACATCAAGAAAGGAAGAGTGGGAACACAATGGAATTTGTATGAAACGCATGAATAGTGAAATGTCAGACAATGGATTGAAGATTTGCAAATCAACGGTTACGATATGGTTTTCCTATTTTACTGAGTAACTCTGTAATTTTCGTTAAATACAATTCGGTTGCCCCCACCTGTGTTCTCCTTCACTACAAGCTGACCTCCGTGCACGATTTTGCAGTTTAATCCATTATAAGAATTCCGTATGATGTTGACCATCTTCACAGGCACTCTGTAGTGTCGAGAAAGCCTCCATAGTGTTTTCCTGTCCACGCTATCGAATGCATTCTCGTAGTCGATGAAGTTGATGTAGAGTGGTGAGTACACCATTACCTACGGATAGACTACTCGTTTCCATATGAAATTGTGAATTAGACAATGTGAAGGGAAAAATTAGAGATAACACGTAAGAATATATTGTAAATCTTGGCTGAATTTTAGCGGAGGAAATCAGGAAGAAGCGAAGGAAGTGGATAGGACACACACTACAGAAAGCACCCAACTGCCTCACAAGACAAGCCCTCACATGGAACCCTCAAGGTCAAAAGAAACAAGGAAGGTCAAGAAACACATTACGCTGTGAAATAGAGAAAGACATGAGAACGAACAAAAACTGGAAAGGGAAGCCCAGGACAGAGTTGGTTGGAGAACATTGGTCGACGGCCTATGCTCCACTGGGGGGTGACCGGCGCAAGTAAGCTGAATTCTATCTTATTGACTGGTAACTTAATATGAATAGTACTAGATATTCCGTTAGTCAGTAAGCTACAACGTAGAATTTGGTACGTACCTACGTACATCAGTTCAAGTTACCATACAATAGTAGCACACAGAGATTGTCAATTCAAATCCCATAGTGGTAGAGGTAGTAGAAGTATTAGCGGTAATGGCGAAGAGAAAGATAAGGGTGACGAGGAATTCGGAAGACTAGGGAGAGACAAAGAATGGATGTATATGCACCATTGAAAATAATTTTGAGTCATGTCGTTCAAGGTTCCTAACCGTCAGTTACTTATGCTCTCGCAGACGTCAGACAGCTAGTGTTATTATCATACAGTAATGATTACAATCTTAGCACATACGAATCATTTTAAATATCATAAAAAATAAGTAAGTAGAAACAACAAATGTGAATAATTTACTGAGTCACACAATTATTCTTTCTTAACACTTATTATGAGTAGGAGGAAATATAATTTCAAGAATGAAAGAGTACGGCTGAGAGTGGGAATAGTTCGCTCTACCTTTCAAAATGTTCTCATACGGCGACGTGTACATAGTCATTAACATGAAAAGTGCTACTAACTACTTTATTGTGGCGAGGATGTTGTTTAAAAAGTTGAGTGTCCGATGAGGGCTTAAAGTGGGTGGTTATTGGGTAAGGGTACTCACTAAGGGCTTTCAAGAGTGGAGCTAACACTCAAAAAAACCCTTCATAAAAACGCCGTGCGTGACCGGCCCCAAGCAGTTGTCCCTTGGGCTCTGCGGTCACGCATCCAGGTCTCTAAGACCAACGCTAATCTACCTTCCTTTTCAGGTTCCTCAAGAAACACCCTTCCACGATTTGGACAGCCGGGAAGTGACAACCGCCCTCATACCCGTAACAGCACATGAGACCGAATCGGTCACAAACAAATCCTCTCTACACCTCTTAATAACTCTCTTATCTCCACGACTAACTCTTCTCACATTCCTTTATCACACTGCACAGCTAATGCAAACGATGCGAGTTCACGAAACGTCATTTCTGGTCTCTTGAAACCCCGTTCTAGACTACATGTTGGAGCATTTAATGTACGTACATTATGTCAAATAGGGCAACAGGCTTCGTTAGCTAGAACTTTAGAATCTCGCTCAATCGATGTATGCTGCGTCTCGGGAACGCGCATACAGGATCCTAGTAAAATCATTAATCTGATTGCGTATGCTAACCTAATTTGCAAGCTATAAGCAGTCATCTACAGCAACTTAGTGAAGGAATAATGGGTAGTATACACTGAACATTTTGATACTAGACTTAACTAACGGATCGTTAGTATCCTGGCATAGACTAAAGTTTTCTCATAGTTGTAGAGTGAACGAATAAATCAGGTTTCGAAAAAGAGTAATAAACAGAAGAGTATTTAAATAGTCAGCTAAGTTTATTTCTAATTTTTAAAAATGTTCATCTAGTATTGTCTCAACACTTGAGGAATATTTAGTATGAATAAAGAATGAATGTGGTGTCCAATGTATCTCTAGTTTCGTGACCATTGGTATCCAACATGTTCTTTGACTTCGTAATTAGCTCGTCTAGACAATCGTTATTAAATAGCGTCTGACAGTTTATAAATCAGGTGAATTCGAAGTGTTGACTACGTTTATTTTGGTACACGACAAATAGATCAGCAGACTAAAAGCAGTCAAAGATAAAATCGTCATAGAAGCGCCAGAAAGTAAGCAAGCGAGCGAATAGATGAAGCGAAGTGGAGAAGGCTAATGAGTCAACTCCAAGAGATAAAGCATGACTAAGAATTTATAGTCGGACAGACATGTAACAAGCGAGATAGGCATACACACACATAAATGAAAGCGACGAATGATTGACAAGGTCACAAGACAAGTCATGTGAGCTAGACATTGAATGAATCACTACGATGTAACTACCAATCAAAAGGTGAGAGAACAAAGCTGCAGGTTGTACTATGCTCCTCTACAGATGACAAGTATTCGGCTGCGTTTTTTAATATGGAATTGTGAAAATAAATGAACACCCAATATTTAACACTTCTTAGTTTGAAGACAATTAAAATAGGTGAATAAATTGTTATGCATAGCTAGTGAGGCAGTGCTTCTTGACAACTTCTCATGAGAAGGACGTGCTCGACCGGCTTCAAGTTTTCCTGTGGAGGCTTTCACATCGCTAAGATCAACTCTAACCGACTTTCAGGTTCCTCAAGAAGCACCCTTCCACGGTATGGGTGATCAGGAAGTAGCATCTACCCTCATACACCCAACAACACAAGATCAAATTACTTTCCACTCCACCTCTTAATTACTCTCGTCTCCATCACTAACTTTTCTTGCATAGCTTTATCACTTCGTGCAGCCGATGCTAACGATTTGAGTACACAAAATGTTATTCCTGGTCTCATGAAGCCCCGCTCTACACTGCATGTTAGGGCTTTCAATGTTCGAACCTTGTGTCAAATAGGACATCAGGTTTCCTTAGTTAGGACTTTACAACTTCGCGCCATCAATGTATGCTGCGTTTCCAAAATGGGCATACAGCATTCGAGTACAGTTATTCATTTGACTCAGGCTTCCTGTACCTGGAAGCTCCACTGTTACTTTCCGTGGCCTCCCTGGTATAGGTATAGTATTAAGTCCATGGGTAGAACTAGCTCTCTCAAACTGGATCCCAGTAAACAGTTGCTTGTGCACTGTTCCACTATACAGGACAGTTAAAACTCGGAAAGATAGGGACATTCGCCGTTGCCCCTGCCAATGTTCCCACTAATTGCAGCTCAGATGGGGTGAAATACGAACTTTACTAAAAGCTTCCTGACCTCCTTCGAAAAGCTAAGCAATCTGATGTAGTAATGGTGGTTGGTGACTTTAATGCTGAAGCAGGTAGACTAAGCGAAAACGAGAGATACCTGGGTGGATCATGTGATGCCGCGGTTAAAAGAACAGATAACCGTGACCGTTCGCTGAAACTTCAACCGACTATTTATGGCAAATACCAACTTCAAGCTTGAGGATAAACATCTTTTGACATGGTGATACAAAAAACCCACTCAACGCATTTGTCTTTGGCGTACTGCTAGTAAGGAACAGCACGAAACCCCTTACAGTTCTACTTAACAATAACAAGTTTATTTCGATAGCAGCTAGAAAAATTTAGGCAGCCATGTCAGTGATGTTCACACCATGGCAGCCTCGAATGATATCCAAAAAGCTGTGCAAACGGCAGTGAGATCTGCCAGTTAGGTAAACCTAAAGGTTAGTGAAAACCAGTAAACTTTAGTAGTATCAACTGAACGGATAGATGCTCGGAAACGCATCCCTTGCGGCTCCGAACACGATGAGGAGCAGGTACAGCCTAAACACAGGACGATAAAAAAGCTTACGCAATGATCGTTGGCATCGAATGCAAAACAGATGGGAAATACAGTGGCAATAGGTAACAGTAGACAACTATTCAGACTTACCAAGGAAACTTGTATTTGAAACGCAACTGTTGTCGAGACTAACTCATCATGTACGTAGCTTCGGGATTCGATTCTCCACCTACCCCAAACCCGATCTGTCGCATTCGGGTTTCAGTGAGTCAGATGCAACGTAGAACTTAGTACGTAAGTACATCAGTTCATGTCGCCATACCACATCAGCACAGAGATGTAATTCTCAATTCAAATCCAATAGTAGTAGAGGTAGTAAAGGTATTAGGAGTAATCGGAGAGGTTAGGATTAGAAGATATCATTCAAGAAGTATGATTTAATGAGAGAAGTTTAGAAAGTCAAAACTAGAGTTGTCGAAGAACCCAGAAGATTAGGATTTGAGAGAACACAAAGCATAAATGCACCGGCGCCATTGCGAACGATTTTAAGCCATGTCATTCAGCGTATCTAACAATCGATTATTATCATCTCGCGGACCCCAACCAGGTAGTCGACAATTACCGACATGGCTAAGTCCACTCGTCAATGACTTCATTGATTTCTGCCATGTTTTGGTTTGGCCGCCCCTAACTTTCTTCCTACACTACAAAACAAAGCTTTTCGAGGCAGTCGGTGGTTAGGCATACGCAACACATGTCCCAACCACCTCAACTGATGAAGTTTCACCACTTCATCTATTGATCTGCCATTCTTACCTAGAACCCGATTCCTAATAACAGCGTTGCTCACTCGAGTGTCCCAGGATATACGAGCAATGCTTCGAAGACACCTATGATCGAAAACCAATAACCGACGAATATCTTCTACTCTCACCGGCCATGTTTCACAGCCATAAAGTAAGACGGAGCGAACTACTGCGCAGTACACTCGTCCTTTAGTCAGCAAACGGATATCTCGCCTACTCCATAAGTGACGCAGGTTGACAAAAGCCAATCGAGCCTTCTGTATCCGAACTGAGATTTCGTCAGTAACTAGACCATCGGCACTGATGAGACTCCCAAGATAATTGAAGCGGTGTAGACGCTCGACTACCTCACTCCCAATCTTGAAGCGACATTTTGCATTTCGAGGGTGAGAACCGCAAACCGAACATGCTTGCAGTGTTGCTTAGCGTGGTCAGAAGACTCTGCATTTTGTCAGCGTCTTCACCAAGTAGGACTATGTCATCGGCATATTCAAAGTCAATAAGCGAGTCTCCTGGTAAAAGGTCTACTCCTGAAAATTCAGATGTGGATAAGGTTATTTCTAGGAGCATGTCTATGATAAGAATTAATCAAGAATGGAAACAGTGGACATCTCTGACGGACACCACTTCTCGATTAATGCTTATACTAATACAACCTCTACCCCTAAGGGACTTTAATTGACAATTCTATGTCTGTGCTGATATGGTATGGCAGTTTGAACGTGTGTACTAAGCTTTAACGTTGTTGATGAGTGAATGAGTTATGAAACTACAATGAAAATAATTAATTTAATCAGATATCACTACAATGACTGAGACAGATTAACAGACAATGAGTTAACGGAGTTGATCCATCAGCTAGAAAATGAGTCATAAGTACACCCAGATATCTTAACGTCGAATCAAATCGGCCATGAAAAATTCCTCTGATTTAATTTAATACAACTCGTAGCATATACTAACTTCACGACCCATAAAATAAACTCATGCAATTCACATTGTGATTAAAACGCATAAAACTAGATGCAGGTCCTGCCCTCTTAAGAAAGTATAAATGTATTATATAAGCTGGCATCATATCATACATCATAGAAACCGAAGAGAATATATTAAACAGATTACAAAAAATATGATTTTATATGTTACACAGCTTCATTTGATATATTCATAAAGAAAAGTTAACAACTTTCTGAAAATGTCATGTGAGTTGACATACAAAGTTTAGTCATGTTTTTCATGTTTATATACAAAAGTCAGTAAATACATAGTACTTGTAAGTACATTGATCAACCAGAGCAACCTCTACATCCACAATTTTGACACTCTACAACTTTTCCTTCTTCTAATTTTGACTTTGGAACTCGACATACACAATTCGTACCGAAATTTGTATCTCTCGATTGAATGCACCTTAAGCAACACAAGTTTTCATATCCTTGCTTCTTCCATTTAGCAATCAAGTTTGCATCAGCAATCTTTTCTTTAAGGCAGAACTCATACAGTTCCTGAGCTGATTAAAGAAGATAATGAATATAACTCACTTTAGAAATTGCTTTTCTTTTATGATACAGGTCATAAATGAATCGGGATCTCTTGTGGTGGATACGGAAAATCGGCCATTCAGCTTCAACTCTACGTTTCCCCTCGTGAGGATCAGTCTCCGCTTCACGCATTTTCCTGTTTAATTCCTCAATTGTTGGCTCAATCAATTCCCAACCCTCAGGTGGAGGTTTTTTGCTCCTCCTAAAGGGCGCCATCCTAACCAATTCAAACTCCCTCGGTCACATACAATCCTCAATATCGTTCTTACGAGCTAGTATAAATTAGACTGTTTCTTTGCACTCACTTCATGTTTTTTCGGTACAGCTTAATGTATTTTTAGTGTTTATTGGATGGAATCCTATCTGCTTGATTGCACTAATTTTAGTCATTTGGAAGTTCTTTATGAACTTGCATATCCCTTGAGTTGAGTGAGTTTGTCTTACAGCAGTAGGATTTGTGGATACTAGCAACTATCGCATTGCTAAGCCATAGATATTTAGTTCAAATAATAAGAATTATCAGGAGAACATTTGGATGCAGATAAGAAGAGAAATATTTCGGAAGTAAGGAAATAAATAATAAACTTTTAGTGAAGTAAGTGTGTTGACTGAAGTGTAAACAAAGAAGAGGAAACAGAGCTGACAATAGGCTGGATTGGGTCAGTTACTGATCCAAGTTATTGATAACAACTATGGAGTTTCAAGACAATCGTTAGGCTCAGCCGGTCCAAGCGTTAAATGTTAATCCCTATGTGAGCATGTCTTTATCAAGTTCTCCATCTTCCATATACTTATTTGTCAGTTCATTTACCGTAGCACATATACTTAATATCCCCAGTAGTTATAGAGAAACTTGTGCAACGCGTCACTTCTATGAATTAAAATCATAGTTATTGACAAGTAAGATCATTTCTCTTTCATTCTGTTGGATCAATACAGGGAAGACGACATTGCCTTTAATGTAAGACCCATTTTGAAGGCTGCGTTTGTGAAGATCTTTCTATGCATACATTTGTAATATGTCCGTATTGATTTATTCAGTTGTACACTTCGTTAATCTGTCCGATTCTATTTTGAAATGATAATATTTGTATTTTATTAAAGTTTCTATTTCTGTTGTCTTTACTGAGTTTCTATGTTTCTTTCTGAACAACATTTATGTTGTTTAAGCTGACACTTAGTTATGGCGACAGCCATATTGATTAGTTCTTCCTTTGATTAGACTGGTTGCGCTGACTGGAATTGTGCATTTAGATTGTAAATTGGAGAACTCTTCCAGAATTGGAAACACTCTGTTATATGGCAACCAAATATTATCAGTCGAAGAATCTGATCTATCCAGGAAGGATAGAATAACTTTTGTTTATATTGTGGGTTTGAATAATTGAACAAACGTTGAAGGAATAACGAGTCGTTAATATTGTTGAGGTATGATACACTTACTTACTTACTTACTTACGCCTTTTACCCCCGATGAAGCACAGGCCGCCCACCAGTTTTCTCCAACCAACTCTCTCTTGGGCCCCCATATCCAGTTCTGTCTAATTTTTGTTCATTCTTTTCACATCTTTCTTTATTTCTCGGCGTAATGTGTTCCTTGGCCTTCCTCTTTTCCTTTTGCCTTGAATGTTCCGAGTGAGGGCTTGTCTTGCGACGCAGTTTGGTGCTTTTCGTAGTGTGTGTCCTATCCACTTCCACCACTTCTTCTTGATTTCCTCCGCAGTTGGAATCTAATTTGTTCTCTCCACATTCGGTTATTGCTGATTGTGACTGGCCAACGGATCCGAAGTATTTTGTGTAGACATCTGGTAGTAAACACTTGTATCTTATGGATGATAGCTTTGGTAGTTCTCCAAGTTTCCTCCCCATACGGTAGAACTAACTTGACATTTGTATTGAAAATCATGATTTTGGTGTTGATTGATATTTGTTTTGAGTTCCAGATATTTCTCAATTGTAGAAATGTATCCCATGGTTTGCCGATCCGCGCCATCACATCTGCATCGGATCCATCTTGATTGTCGATGATGCTGTATAGGTGTTAACGTCCTCGAAGACATCCCAATCAAGAGTGATTTGGTTGACGCATATTGTGTTGTATGGTAAAATCTTAATTTTCCCCTTGTGTATGTTGAGACCGGCTGTTGCTACACTAGTCGTCTTCTCTTGCATTTGTTGTTGCGTGTGCAATAGAAGAGTCAGGTCATCTGTAAGGTCCAGATCATCCAGCTGCGTCCTAACTGTTCATTGGATACCGTGTTTCTATCCAGATGTCGACGTCTTCATAATCCGGTCGATCACCAGGAGAAAGAGAAAGGAAGGGAGTAAGAAACCTTGCCTCACACCGGTCTTTACCTCGAAAGAGTCTGTTAGCTGTCCTCCGTGCACGATTTTTCAGTTGAATCCATCATAAGAATTCCGTATGATGTTAACTATTTTCTCAGGCACACTGTAGTGTCGAAGAAGCCTCCATAGTGTTTTCCTATCCACGCTATCGAATGCTTTCTCGTAGTCGATGAAGTTGATGTAGAGTGTTGAGTTCCATTCAATTGACTGTTCCATATTGATCCGTAATGTAGTAATTTGGTCAGTAAACGATCGATCCTTACGAAATCCAGCCTGTTGATCTCGAAGTTGGGCGTCTACGAAGTCCTTCATTTATGATGAATATTAGAACCGTTATTTAGCCAAAAATCTTGTTTTTGATTTCAGCTGTTCAAGACGCTTATCTAAACTTCCTTGAGAGATGTCCCTCAGTCCAAACCTCAATTTGCATCCTACATTTTAGGAAAGTTTATGTTGAATCAATACTCGATGGTCGAGACATATACGACCTTTATATAAGAGGTCAGCGGATTTGTATTGAATAAATTTTCCCTCGGGTAATTTTTTCAGCTGATACGTCCGTAGATTAATCAAATCTACTGTGGGGACAAAATTCTTAACATTATATATCTACCGCCAGATGACGAAGAATAAGGCAGTGAAGAACTATAGTTTTTGACGTATATTTGGATACACAAAGTTCGAAAGATACAAGAGAAAGTGAAGCAAGTAGCTAGATGCATGTGCACTAAAGTTAGAGCGGGAGAAAGGAAATGAAAAACATTAATAACTACATTGTTCACATATCTTTCTTTGTCTAGTACAATCCCAGCCTCTAAGTAATACAGTAAGTGCCTCAGGAATCATGCTTCAGGTTATATGTGCAGAATAACTGTCACAGCGTAGAATTGTAAACATGGGTCTGAGCAGTAAGCAAACAAAGTGTACAGGAACACAATCTGGATGGATTAAAAGTGATCGCTCTCACTATCAGTGTATGATGGTCTGTTAGACACATATTTTTATTTTATTGTATGAATTCTCTCATTTAGAAAAACCTGACCGAAACTGCTACCTTGACGTGGTGGTCGGGCTTGCCTACCGTGATAACTCAACCGAGTTATACTGGCAGGAACATAAGTTCCTGTAGGTTCTACCATGCCAGGCAGGTCCATTGGAGAACGATGAGACTAAAAGCAGATACCCAAGGTCTGAGGGCGAAGTCGTACTGCTGACTGTAGAGGGGTGTGACAGCAATAAGGTGTTGCCCTTAATCAACTAGCATCTGCAGCGATGCTGCCTTCTCACAAAGAAGGAGTGAAGGGGATAGGAGAGGTCGACCCTAAAAATGTCATGCTTCACCTTACCTCACGGATTTCCGTCTCCGATGGTAGGGGTGCCCACTAAGGGCTTTCAAGAGCGGAGCTAGTACTCAAAAAACCTCTCGTAAATAGGTCGCGTGTGACCGGCCTCAAGCAGTTGTCCTTTGGGTTCTGCAGTCACGCACCCAGGTCTCTAAGACCAACGCTAATCTACCTTCCTTTTCAGGTTCCTCAAGAAACACCCTTCTATGGTGTGGGCAGCCGGGGAGTGATAACCACCCTCATACCCGTGACAACACACGAGACCGAATTGGTAAACATCAAATCCTTCCTACACCACCTAATACCTCTCTTATCTCCGCGAATAACTCTTCTCACATTCCTTTATCACACTGCACAGCTAATGCAAACGATGCGAGTTCACGAAAAGTTGTTCCTGGTCTCCTTAAACCCCGTTCTAGACTACATGTTGAAGAATTTAATGTACGTACATTATGTCAAATAGGGCAACAGCTTCGTTAGCTAGAACTTAAGAATCTCGCTCAATCGATGTATGCTGTGTCTCGGGAACGCGCATACAGGATCCTAGTAAAATCATTAATCTGATTGCGTATGCTGACCTAATTTGCAAGCTATAAGCAGTCATCTAAAGCAACTTAGTGAAGGAATAATAGGTAGTATACACTGAATATTTTGATACTAGACGTAACTAACGGATCGTTAGTATCCTGGCATAGACTAACGTTTTCTCATAGTTGTAGAGTGAACGAATAAATCAGGTCTGGAAAAAGAGTAATAAACAGAAGAGTATTAAATAGTCAGCTAAGTTTACTTCTAATTTTTAAAAATGTCCATCTAGTCCATCTAATAAAACCACTAATTTGATTTCACCTTATCAAAACAAAGAAGCAGCCTAATTCACTATTCATGTATCCGGTGGCCCTGATGCTGCTCCTCGGGGTCTCGCTGAAGTAGGTATAGCATTGAGTCGTAGGGCAGAACTAGCTCTCATAGACTGGATCCCTGTAGATAGTCGTTTGTGCGCCGTCTGACTGATCGGGACAGTAAAGACTCGGAAATATAGGGACAGCAGATGTTGCCTCTTCGTCGTGTCTGCCTATGCCCCCACTGACAGCAGTTCAGACGAGGTGAAAGATGCGTTCTACAGAAAGCTTCCTAACCTCTTCCAAAATGTTAGGCACTCTGTGTAGTAATAATGGCTGGTGACTTCAATGCTCAAGTAGGTAGACTAAGTGAAAATGAAAGACACCTAGGTGGATGTTATGGTGTTGTGGCTCAGAGAACAGACAATAGTGACCGTCTGCTGCAAGTATGCTCAGACAACCGCCTATTTCTGGCAAACACAAACTTTAGGCACAAGGAAATGCACCTTTTGACCTGGTGACCCCCGAAGTCGTCTCAACGTTGGACGCAACTAGATCATATTTCCATCAGCCACCGATGGAGGGGTTCGATAGAGGACTGTCGCTCGTTCTGGGGTACATGTCTAGATTCAGATCATGCCCTAGTGAGAGCTCGTATTGTTTGAGGCTTACTGGACGTAGGAAAGACGCCGTAAGTAAGCTTCCTGCGGTTTTACTTAA